TCTTAATTTTAGTTTAAAATTCTGCCTTTTGGTGAAGCTGTTTATATACACACATATCTAGGATTCTCTGTTTTTAATCGTATTTTTTTCTTAAATTTTTTTATTTATCTCACAGCAAAGGGATAGAAGGAACCAGTTACCACGAATCATTGTACAATGCTCTACAGGCTCTAAGAGACAGAGAATTCTCCACTTTTTATGAAAGTCTCAAGTATGCCAGGTATTTTAAAAAGAGAGAGTTACTGTATCTTAACATTTAATGTCATGGCTTCTTTTCTGAATATTTGACGAATAATTTCAACACAAAGATTGGCACTGGTGAAGGTATAAGGACCCAAAGGCTGTGGTTAGGTTGTTTCCTTGTCATTCCCTCTTCCCCTCTTCTCCCTTAAAAAAGTATTTCCTGTGTAACTCGTGATTCATGCTAATCGGTGCTGAGACTCGAAACAGTGCCAAAGCAGGAGGAAAAATTCAACAGTTAACAATTTCATAGCTTTTACGTATTTGGGAAATGAGTGCTCAAATGCCTTTTATTCACTGCCAGCATGTTTTTGTAAGAGTTATGAGTGTGCCTGTCTTAACAGTTGTTTTCTATATCTTGAAATCAAGTATTCTTCATGTTTTAAATGTTTTGTATGAGAGAATATATATATATATTCTTGTCAAATATATATATATATTTGTATGAGAGAATTCTTTAATGCACAATTGTCAAATATACAGATATATATATGTATATATAAAGCACAAACATGTTTTTAGGTACAGTACCAATGTTACCTTTTGTTTTCTTTCTTTTAGAGGTAAGAACATGTTCATATGTTAGGTACTTACATAAACTTTATTTTTTTCTCATGTAGTATTTCTTTCTTTATGTCGTTTAAATATATTTTTTCCTTTAAAATTTAGTAAGATTCCTTTTAGGAAAGCCCTCTGATCAACTATTTGTGCTAAACCCTAAAGAAAGTCTTGTTGTGTCCCACTCCTTGGTTCTCTTCCTGGATCAGTATATTGAGAATTTTAATCCTGTCTTTTCTAGTAGTTATATGGTGTTTCTCTCTCTTAGTGTTCTTTTTATAAAATGATGAATGCTTCTTATGAGGCACAGATGAGATAATGAACAAGAAAGAAATGAACTGTTACAGGCTAAACAAATGTAACACATTTTTTGTTTAACAGTAGTTGTGACCTAGTAAATCCTGTATTTTATTACAGAAATAATGCTTGCTACCATTTAAGTGCTTATCATATGGAGCCACTTTGTTAGGCTTTTCCCATGTGTATCCTCTAATCTTCAAAATAATTCTAGAAGTGAAAAAACTTCGGTTCAGAGGCATCTAGTAATGTGCCCAGAGTTACACAGCTGTTACTGGCATAACTGGGACTTGGATCCAGGGATGTGCAGTTCCAAGATTTACTTTGTTTCCACTGCCTTTTGCTGATGCTGATAAATATTAATATTATTAGATCAACACCAAGGCCTATGATGAGAACTCCTTAACAGTAAACTTGAACTTCTATCTTCCTGCAAACCTCTTCTTAGTTTTCAGCGTCTTGTCTTGTCTGCCACTAGGGTTAAAGAAGTGGAGGAGCTGTGTAAGGGCAGCCTTGAGTCTGTGTATTCCCTCTACCCTACGCTCAGCAGACTGCAGGCCATCGGAGAGCTTGAGGACATCGGGGAGCTTTTGTCAAGGTACGTGATTCCAATGACTGTGTATCTCAAAGTGCAACCTTTCTGTTACCGACAGTAACTTTAAAAAATAAACGCTATGTAGAGAACAGCCATAGGTTTCTTTCCGTTTATCCAGATGTAAGTAAAGTAGCCTAGTGAACTCTGATCTTACAAAAATAAACATTTTCAAAACCAGTCATTGTAAAAATTCCAGTTTCTGAAATTTGGCTGTGTGTTTTTCTCTTTACAGCCTTTCCCCTGTTCTAGCCTAGATAAAATTGTTTCCTCATGTTGTTTGTCATAGCGCATTATGCTGCATTCTGTTGTAGCGCTACATTGCAGTAGTGCGTTGTACTAATGTCATTTTATGTATAGTCTGCCCTGCTGTCCTGGAAGCTCCCTACAAGTGGGCTAGTTTATTCTTGTAGCCCTAGTGCTTCTTCCTGGTGACTGAGTCTTAGTAGACAGTCTGTGTCAGTGAATATGGAGAAAGTATTTGCTT